AGGGGAAAGGAAAGAAGGAAATGGAATTAATATGAGAAAATGAAAAAAATGGAAACAAAATCTTTGTAAATAGGGAGGGATGGAGGGGCTGAAGGGAGGGCAGGGGAATCAGGAAAAAATAAGAGCCAAGAGAGATTATGTAAAGATGCAAATTTCCAATGATGAATGTCATTACATTGTATACGTGCTGCCGAAGCGAGCACAAATGTCACTACATTGTATACCTAAAATGTACCAATAAAATTAATTTCAAAAACCAAAAAACAAAAAAACCCAAAATTATAAATATTTTGACATATAAATAGCATATACATATGAATTAAAAATAGCCCTATAGGGCCAGAGATTTAGCTCAGTGGGTTCACCACCTGCTGCGCAAGCGCAAGGACCCGAATTCGATCCCCGGTACAAAAAAAAAAAATAGCCATATATGTCAAAATATTTACAGAGGTTATTTATGGGGTTGATGATAATTTTACTTCTTTATACTTCCTCTCACCTCACCCTTATGTCTCATGCATTATTTCTTATACCAAGAAAAATAACTAATAAATCTATTAAAAAGAATAAAATGAACTTGGGGCAGAAAATAATACAACATGGTCAAGGTTAAGGAAGCCAAAAGCTAACGCAAGTGTTTTGCTGTTTTTCTGTAAGTTGTGAAAAAGATCAGTATATACATAAGGCTATGTGAGGTAACTGGGCCTACCACATTAGGTACTTCTTACTAAAGCAAAGTCAGATGTTTACTCCTTACAAAACACAGGATCCTTCCTCTTTGATAATTTCAGTATTTAACTCTCAAGGAATTAACTGAATAGTCACAAAAAGTTATCCTATGGGCACGTGTGAGGCCCGTGAAAACTCAGGATTCCATGACTCCACAGAATAAATGAATACCTGATTTGAAAGACCTGGAAGTTGAAAGTCAGCTATGTTGTTTTATTCCCACTCCCTACCAGGTCCTGAGAATACTAGGTAAAAAGTTCCTTTTCCTCTTTTCACAAAGAAGGATAGAAAGACAGAGAGGGCAGGAGAGGAGATTATAACAAGATAGAACAAATAAATACCTTTTTTTTTTAAGAAAAGGAAAGTTCTTATCTATTATCTTCATTTTCATTTTATGAAATCAGGAAGTACATCTCTCCATGAAGTCTAAACTGTGAAGCTATGTACAACTTTTGCATTTGTAAGCATTAAGCTCAAAAAGTAAGTGTGTAGCATGAATACATATATTAAAGTATGACCATAAAATTATGTCTAATATTCACACCTCGCTTGGGAATCAGTCTCATTTCGCAGCCAATTCCAAGCTTCATTTGGGTCTTAGAAACCTTTCCTCAAATGAGTTGTTTCAAAGGTAATTCTTTGCTTTTTTTCTACATTCACAATTACAAATGTACAAGAACAAATGTTCCATTCAAACAAAAAAGAGATAACAGTTATTTTAATTTTAAAATTTGTATGTATACATGCCCAGGAAAAATAGTCTTTTACAAAAAAATATTATTACTAACTTTGGCACTTTTGATGTGTTGAGATACTTTTTCAAAGTTTCTATCCAGTTCAGCTAATTTTGGTTCCACAAGCTCCCTGCTTGAGCTTCCACGTGCATTCATCAAAATAGTGGCTTGATCGTGGGCATTTTCAACCTGGAGCCTGGCGTCGTCCAGCTCAGATAGTAGACGCTAATTGTGAAAAAAAAACCCATAAAATTATCCAGTGGGAAATATCAAAATCAAACATGGAGGGCTGGGGATTTAGCTCAGTGGTTCCGCCGCCTGCCTCGAAAAGAGTGCAAGGACCCGAGTTCGATCCCCGGTACCAAAAAAAAAAAAAAAGACATAGTTGTGATGCTTACCCAGAATTAAAGGAAGTAAATAAAATGTGCCTAGACAGTGGGGTGCCTGGACATCGCTTCTTAAGAGATTTAAGCACAGAGAGTGAAAGTTGCTTATATAATGGAGATCTCGCTTTCTCCCAACAAAACAAATGTTAATGAGTCAACAGCAAGAGACAATGTACACCAGCAACTGAGGAAACCGCACACACCAGGAAAAGACAAAAGGAAAACATCACACTCCCAAAAGTGTCACTGATCGTCCCGTCTGCTACCTTCACGATTTCCTCCCGTTTACTCGCTGGTTTTTTTTCAATCTCATCCAATAGAGCTTCAGCTTGATAAAGCCAGGTACTTATGTGAGCAACATTTCCATCAAATATTTCCAGCTGGTTCTGATGGTTCTACAAAGCAATTAATAAAATACAGACACAGTCATATGGAATATCTAAGATGGGTTTTCACCTTCTTACAAAGCTCTCTTTAATGAATAAATCTCAATCTAAAAACTGCATAGCTGTGCCTCAGCCCATTTTAAATTTGACTTAGACCTCGATGTCATAAAAAGTGGAAGTAAAATAAAAGACGAAAGTTTCTTTTTCAAGTTTGTTTCTAATTTCACATTTTATATTACAAGTGATCTCATTTGTCCCCTTCAATCATATTTTTAAAACTTATTTATTATAAATAAGTGCATAATATTAATAAAGATGAAAACATAAACTGAATAAGAGTCAGTCAATATCCACTGAAAGGACAGGGCCTGGTTCTTTTCTCGTCAGTACTGCCACCCCTCGGTATTACAGGGGGCACAAACCTCAGTAATCCTTCCTGGAGTGGGACATAAAACACAAGTAAGAGAAAGGATTTGAAAACTGAACAAACACTTGAGCAGATTAAAACTTGAAAAGTTTTGGCAGCTAAAAGAAGTTAGAACTTGACCAAATAGGTGGGGAGAGGGGAAGTATGATGAAATTGGCAATTTTCAGGAACGGTATTTTATAACATAAAGGAAACTAGAAAAATTGTAGAACAATTAACACAAAGAAACAAATCATTAATCTATAATATAAGAAGATCATGGAGAAAGAAAATATTAATTAATAAATGATATGAAAAAATTCTGACCATGATCTAGAGACTAAGAAGGAATTGATGAGCACCAGAATTATTTACTCCTATAAAGTAGAGAAATCAAACACTGTGATAGAAGTAGAAATACAATACCTGAAAGGGGAATCTGGAAGGGACAGACTAAAAATTATAGACGCAAGAGCTGAGGGAAAATGAAATAAAGGTAGTAATAACAAAAATGAACAGACTAATAAAAGAGAATACATAAAACATTTTAAAAATACTTTATAGGCTAAGAAGAATATATTCATTATCATATTCAACACTGAACAACTGTCAGTTATGTTCCTTTACTTTCATTTTATATATAAACGTATATAAAAATTCCATGTATTATATATAATATATATGGAAATTGAAGCTCAGTGACATTACATTACTTATCTAAGGTTCCACAGGTAATAAGTCATGTACTGGGATTATAAGTCTATGACAAATCAAGACCTAAGCCCTGATTTTCACTATCCTACACATCTTAACTGATCTCAGTAAATGCTCAAACACACAATAATTTCTTCTGTATCTATCCATTACACAGTAATTCCATGAATTTTATAAGAGTCCTGAGATGTCAGAATTTAAAAATAAATTATAAAGGATAATTCCCTGTTTGGAGGGGAGAATGGGTTACCATATATTCATTTTTAATATAAAAGGCATAAAAAAGCACTACGAAGATTAAATGATCAAATTTCCATGAAAGAAAAATAAAACAGCATAAGCAAAAGACTGCCATATTTACAATTTACAACATTCAACAATCATCATAATTGTTACAATAATATTTAAAATTGGTTATTTTACATATAGTTATTAGACCAGTTTAAGTCAATTAATTACAAAAATTGCACGAGGTAGAAATGATAATAATAGTCATTTTACAGATGAGAAAACTGAGGCTTACAGAACATTTAATTAACTTGACCAATGTCATTCAGTTAACAGTCAAAATTTTTAGTCAAATGCTAGAACCTATGCTCTTACCTAGTACACTATTATTAGAATATAATAATTATATGTATATAAATAGCCCACAGTAATATAAAAATTAAATTCTAGGACTGGGGATTTAGCTCAGTGGTTCTGCCTCCTGCCTTGAAAGCGCAAGGACCCAAGTTCGATCCCCACTACCAAAAAAAAAGAAAAAAAATTAAATTCTACATGACATTTACAAAATAAAAACTACACTTTCTATGTATATCATGAACAGTTTATTCTTTGATAGAGACATAGTGAATTCCTTCCAATTATTACCTTTTCAAAGAAGTAAAGGAAAGTTATCACAGGAAAATAAAATGGATTTTTAGTGAAATTAATTCACAAGCAAAGCATTTCTGGGACACACAGGAAAACAGGGTTGGGAAATCGAATCAAAACTGCAAGCACATAAAAATAACTAAAGGAGAGAAAAGGACCGCATGATGAAATTCTCCTTGCAACATACCATCAAGGTGTTGCACCAATCCTCAGTCCAGGTGCGAACCCGACTCCACCCAGCATTGAGCAAACACAGCCTCTCCTGGAACAGGGGCCCACTGCCCAGGATCAGGGCCTGGAGGGCAGCGCTGCTCTCTGTGATGGCGCTTAAGTCAGCTTTCCTCTTCTCCAGATCCTTCAGAACATTCTAGAAAAGAAAGGCACCAAGACCCACTTGATCTTTCAGGAACCATAAAACTTATGTATGTAGACTTATTTTACAAAAACTTTTTTTGTACAAACACACAGTAGTCCATGACTTCCTAGATAATATGTAATATTTCAGAGGATTACAACACTCCTCAACTTATCAGTACGATAAGAGTTCTTAAGTGCCTAATGAAAATTTAAATGTTTAATTCAATATCAAAAAATGTAAGACATTCAAATAGGAAATATGTAGTTATTTCATTTAATTATAAATTCCATTTTTTACAAACATCATAGCCCTGGATATACAATTTCATTCTCAGTACCTGCACATTGGCAAAGCAAAAGGATTTCAGAAATCATAATTCTAAAATATTCACAAATTTATCTTCGAGATTAGAAGAGGAAATTATCGGGTGTGGAATAATTACTTGAAAGGAGTATATCCTGTATCTAGGTTACTTAACATATAGTCTGGCATATAAACATTACAAAAAATATTATATATTAAGTAAATCATAGAACCAACAAGTCTAAGCTCTGGTCTTAAAACTGTCCTAACAGGCAAAGGTAACACACAGGATGGTATGAGATAATTGGATTCACACAATTTTAAGTTTGACCAGGCCAAATGGACATTCACAGAAACAAAGAGTGCTGGAAGTCACAAAATTCTTCCAGTCAAATAGCAACATGTGTATAGACCTTCCCTACCACTACTAATTAAATTGCTGCACTTTCTTAAAATACTATTTAAACCAACTACATATTTCAAGGAGCTCAAGGTGGCATGTGAACATCAATCAGTCATATTTTGGAAATACGAAAATTCACAAATGAGTTGAGATTTAAACAGTCACTTGACAATGTCAATTACTAGAATAGTTATCAGTGCACTAAAATATTTGTTTCATGATTCTTCTCCAGTGTGGAGAGAAGTGGGGGAGGAGGAGGAGGAGGAGGAGGAGGAGGAGGAGGAGGAGGAACAGCTAAGGCATAGGCATCCTTTCCAAAGTTATTTACCAAGTGACTAGAACAGGCTGTTTGAATTAGGAGAAATAATTAGGTACAAGTAATAAAATTTAAATATACACACTATGCTGACAGATTTCATAAGAAAGAAAATATGTTGTGGAATATCTATATTCTTTAAATCTGAAGTCAGAATGTTAAAAAGGTGAGTGATTATATTTCATATTGATGTCTGTTTCACTCTAATGAAGAGAATGTGCTTTGTGATTTATATATTTCATCTTTATTATTTCAAATCTATAATACAATTAAGTAGAAATGTAAGAATGTAAAATTTCACGAAAGAAAAAATTACTCGCAGTCTTTACCTTAAATGAATGATAAGTGTCAACTTTCACAAATGAATTGAACTTTTGAGTACAGAAACACAATCAAACATTAAATATATATTTAATACCACTTATGTACTAACTGTAAGCCATTAAAAAAAAGAAAACTCATAAATCACATTGCAATAAAATAATATGGAGGAATAACTTTCTTGCACATACACATTGTGTTTATGAAGAAATGTAAGGATGTGAAAAAATCGGAGGGAAATGAGACATACCATGTGAAAAAAAACACTGAAGATGTCAGTTCACCTCCAAAAAATCTATAAATTTCAGGCAATTCAAAATTTCCAACAGAATTTTTAAGAATTTGAGAATAATAATTCCAAAGTTCATGTAAGTATTTATCAAAAAGAAGCATAGGGCCAGGGATTTAGCTCAGTGATTCCACCGCCTGCCTCACAAGCGCAAGGTCCTGAGTTTGATCCCTGGTACCGAAACAAAACAAAACAAAACAAAAAAACCCATAAAGACAGGGAACCCCTTAACTGTAATTAAAATGTATTACATATAAAGCTACATAGTTAAAGAGTTGAAGAACTGGCATGTTTTAAAGGATCAGGTCAATGGAAATAAGAATGTATGAATTTGGTGTGTAAAATTAGTGGGGGAAATGATTATTTCCTTAATAAATAGGGGTTAACTATTTGGAAAAATGTTTAGCACCCTAGCTTATGATTTACAACAAAATTAACTCCCTAACAATTAAAACAAAAGGTAAAAAGATGAAAATGTGAAGAAGCTTGAAGGAACTATAACAATTACATGATGCTGGAGTAAAACTGGCCTTTCTAAACACTAAAGGCAGGATAAAAATGAAGGTGGATTTCCTTATTCAATAAAACGTTTTTAAAAAAACAGGACAGGGGGGCCGGGGATTTAGCTCAGTGGTTTCGCCGCCTGATGCCCAAGTGCAAGGACCCGAGTTCGATCCCCGGTACCAAAAAAATAAATAAATAAAAAACAGGACAGAAAGGAAAGTACAGTTGCAAAAAAATTTTAAATAATACACAATATACTAAGCTTTAATAATCAGGACAAACAGCTCTAAATTAAAAGACACTCTGTGAATAGGAAAATGGTCTGAATTACATGAAAAAGTAATTTTCTCAAAAGAGTTGCAGGTGGCCTATAAGCTTATGGAAAATTCTCTAAATGACCAAAACATGATATTTGCCTACCTTTGTAAAAGTTGTGGTTAAAACAAGCAAGTAGAAATTCTCATTCTCTGGTGGTACATACAGCATTTCTGAATATGTGCTAAACTCTAAAATGGATATATCCCTTGACCCAACAAAGGCTAATAACTTATCCTCTACAATAAATTCACAATTTAGTTAGTATTCAAAACTTTAGCTAGAGCAATCAGGAAGAGAAAGAAATAAAAGTAATATGTATAGGAAAGAAAAAATTCAAATTATTGTTTTTCACAGATAACATGATCCTTTGCATAGAAGATCAAACAATTCCACCAAAAGACACTTATAACTAGTAATCAAATTCAGCAGTGTAGAAGGATACAACATCAATACACAAAAATCAGAAGTGTTTCTGTACAACAATAATGAACCCACCAAGAAAAAAATAGGAAAATAGTATCCTTCACAATATCCTCAAGAAAAATTAAATATTTAGAAATTAACCTGGCCCAGGAAGTGAAAGTCCTCCAGTAAAAAGGAAGATTGAGGAGGACATTAGAAAACAGAAACGTAGGGCTGGGGATTAGCTCCGTGGTGCTGCACCTGCCTCGCAAGCACAAGGTCCTGAGTTCAATCCCCAGTACCGCAAAAAAAAAAGAAAAGAGAAACATATCCCCTATTCCTGAATAGGAAAAAACCAATATTATCAAGTGGCCATACTACCAAAACTGATACTACATAGATGTAATGCCATCCCAATCAAAATATCAACAGCATTCCTCACTGAACGAGAAAAAATAATCCTAAAATTTACATGTTATCACAAGAGACCCAGAATAGCAAAAACAATCCTGGGCAGGGGGCATCACAATCCTGGATCTGAAGTTATATAATTAAAAATAATATGGTACAGGAACAAAAACAGACACGTGGATCAATGAAACAGAATAGATAAGGCAGAACAAGCTCAGGCACATTCAGTCATCTTATCCTTACAAAAGGACAAAAAAATTACAATGAAAAGCCAGGCATGGTGCCACACACCTGTAATCTCAGGATTTGGGAGGCTGAGGCAGGAGGATCGCTATGAGTTTGAGGGCAGCCTAGGCTAGATAGTAAATTCAAGCTCAGCCTCAACTACATAATAGACCCTGTCTCAAAAAAACAAAACAAAACAAAATCATATGTGTAAATATATATTAATATAATATTATTAATATATATTTATATAATATTTCTATATTATATATAATTACATATATATGAATATGAAGAAAGGTAGACTCTTGAATGAATAGTGCTGGGAAAGCTTGTTACACACATTCAGAAGATTGAATCTAGACCCATCTCTCTCACCATGAAGTAAAATAAAATCAAAATGAATCAAAGATCTAAATGTTAACATTTTTTTAAAATCTGCTAGAAGATAAAATAGGTAAAATTCTTAAAGATATAGGCATAGGTAAAGACTTCTGAACAGAACCCCAACTGCACAAGAACCCATATTGCACAATGGACTCTTGACTTACAAACTCAATTCATTCCCGAGGGCTGGTTGTAACTCAACTGGGTCAACTGAAGGCTCAGGCTCCTCTACACAACCTGCAAAGTCTCTCTCCTGTACACAGGCAGATCTCAGGGTCCTTAGAGAGAGACTGGCCCGTGATTTCTCAGTTAACCCCACACAGGAAAGGATGTTGTCATGGTCCTTCCAGAACTCTTTATGGGTCAAATCTATACCTGAGACCCTCTGGAAGTACAAGTGGCCAGTATTCAGGTCCTAACTCAAGACTTTTTTCATAAGTTAAAACTAAAATTCCAGCTGTAACCCAAGTTGTTCACATGTCAGGCTACTCCTAACTTGAAGGACCACTGTAACATCAAGAATCAGCAAATGCAGGTCAGGGATTTAGCTCAGTGGTTCCGCTGCCTGCCTCGCAAGTGTGAGGACTTGAGTTCGATCCCTGGTACCAAAAAAGAATCAGCAAATGGGACAATATTAAATTTAAAAAGCTCTGCACAGCAAAGGAAACAACCAACTGAGAGCAAATCTACAGGGTGGGAAAAAATTTGCCAGCTACTCATCAGACAAAGGATTAATATTTAAAATATATAAAGAACTTTAAAAACTTAGGACCTCCCAAAACAAGGGACCCAATCAAAGGATGAGCAACTGAAATGAATAGTATCTCAGTATCTATTCATTGGAAAAATGAATGAAATTCAATGAAAAAATGTTCAGCACCACTGGCCACAAGAGAAATGCAAATTAAAACAACACTGAGATTTCACTTTACTCCAGAAAGAATGGCCATCATCAATAAATCAAATAGTAACAGATGCTGGCAAGGCTGAGGGGAAAAGGAACCTTTCTACATAAACTCATACAACCACTAAGGAAATCACCATGGAGTCTCCTCAAAACACTAAAAATTGACATTCCATCCAGTCCAGCTATTTGCTTTCTAGGTATCTTCCTGAAAGACTGAAGACATATTAGAGTGATACATGCATACCCATATTTATAGAAGCACAATTCCTAAGAGCTAGCAGCACAATTCCTAATAGCTAATTCTTGGAAGCAGACTATCTGTCCATCAACAGATGAATGGATACACAAAGTGTCCTATATTTGTACAATGGGGTACTATACTTGCCATAAAGGATGATAAATTTGAGCCTTTTGTAGAAAAATGGATGCATCTTGAAACCATAATGTAAAACGAAATAAATCTGACATACAAGCATAAATATTGCATGGTTTCTCTTATATGAAAAACCAAAAGTATAAATAATTTAAAGACCACAATAAAAGACAGACTATGAAATAAGGAGACAGGAAGGGAAACTAGAGGTGGAGGGCGGGGAAGGAGGGGGAGAACAAAGGGAATTTAAAAACTCAGGATGTGTTACATACATGTACCACCTCCCACAATGAATGTTATCATTAGATACCAAACATAGACAAATAAATAAAAATGTTGCAGCTGTGTAGAAAAGTATAGGAAAAAGCAGATGTATAAAGGCTTTGGTGCTATCTGCAGTTTTAGGCAGCTACTGGGAGTCATGGGACGTATCCCCTGTGCAAAGGGGGAGAACACACTATTCGGTATAAACCACGTTACTAACAAGAAAATAATGGCTTTAAAGTGTACTGCACAAAGAAGATAATACTTCCTGAAAAACTTGAATTTAAGGAAAACTGTTTGGCTCTTTAGTTTTGCACTCATGCAGAATACACCGATGACCTGCAGTGCTGTTCATTCCCCTCTTATATCCCTCTCTCCACCTCCTGTCACTCACGGAACTCACGGCATGGTCACGCTTTTCCTGAACTACTTTCCTAACTGAGCCTGTCCTTTGCAGTGCCTGACAGCCTGCCATTCTCTTGAGTGTCACCTCCACAGCGTCCAAGGTCAGCAGCAGCTGTCGCCTGCTCCCTCGCGGAATCTGCTCTCCACAGCAAGCACCTGGGCAGGATGCAGCAGTGACAGGGAGCCTTGCATAAGCACCTGTTCCTGTATCCATCATGTATCTTCAGCACTCTCCCTAGCATGCCTGCTTCTTTCTTAGGCAAAGAATTGAGGAAAACAGTATGCCTTGGGGAAAGAAGTCCCCAGGTGGACTTCAGGTGGAAAGAAGGTGGGCTTTGTCCACCTCAGAAGAAAGAATTCCCAAATCAACCCTCCAATCTCTGCAGTTTCGAAGTAAGTGTATGGCTAAGGAAAACTGTAGCACTGATTTTTAAAACTTCTGTCCCTATGTTCTTTACATCAGTTGGTTTGTGAGGGAAAGATTAGTTATGGGTACAAAAATCATTAAAGAAGAATTAAGATCCACACAATGCTTGCTACAGACTGAATACTGAGAAGCTGTCACAGATTTTGAAAGTGGCTAATTAAAAAATGTTTTCAAGGACCCAATAAGCAATCATGCTTACAAAGGCCTTGATGTTCCATGCGAATCTAAGGCATATATAAAT